CTAAAGGATTCTAGAAGACTAGTGAAGGAGGACTTCCCTTTGCAGAAGACGTGCTGATCCATCTTCTGTAAAGTTGTTCTTCTGTGTTGGATCTTATGTACCATGAATGTGACAGTGCTTGTGGATGCAGATGTCCCCCCCCCATTCCCTAGCAGTCTCCTGAGACCTCTGAAAAGGTGATGTTCGTGGCTGTGGGGAGCCTCATGGATAAAATACCATTGAGTATAAGGAGCTGCAATGTGGAAGGGGATCAGGCAAAATTGCCTTTAACCGCATTCTTCCTTACCAGTAAGGAAGCTAAAGGCACCACTGGGGAAAAAAGGAACTGGAGTGGCATTACCCAATCCTCACTATACCCACATGGCATTTTGTCCATGAGGCTCTGGTGACTACTACCACCAGCTGTTTGGAAGTCTCAGGGGGCTGTTGGGGGATGGGAGGTAGGAAGCATACACCTTCTATGCAGAGCAATGTTTGAGTCCAGTGGCACCTTTAAGACCAACAAAGTTTCATTCTGGGTATAAGCTTTCATGTGCATGCACACTTCTTCAGATACCCAGAATAAAACTTTGTTGGCCTTAATGGTGCCACTGGACCAAACTTTGTTCTGCTGCTTCAGACCAACACAGCTACCCACCTGAATCTACTTTCCATGCAGTTCACTGAGTGTTTACCAATTCTAGTTTTAGGAATACTTTCTATTAGAAAGTTAGGCTGATGGGTCTAACTCCCTTTTAAAAAGTGGCATTATATTGGCTTTTCCCCATTTCTACTGGTAAAGAGGCCAATTTTAATGGGGTTGCATATTTTAATTAAGAATTCAGCAGCTTCACGTCTGAGATCTTTAGGAACTCAGACGTGATTTCCACATGGTCCTTGTGCCTTGCTCATTTAGAATTTTTCAGTTAGCACTAAGCATAATTTGTCAGTATAACCTAGCTGCTTAGATGCTGTTCCTGAAACTGTGGTTCAGATGTGGATATCCTTCCAATATCATCCATAGTGGGCACAAATGCAAATAATTCATTTAGTGCATCTACAATCATCCTATTTTTCCTCCAGTTCTCTGTATATCTTTGTCAGCTAAAGTAATATGGTCGCCACATACCCCCCCACCCCCCAATCACCTTTTTGAGGTCCATTCATGGCTGCTGAAGTATAAGGGCAGCAGGAAAAATCTATTTCCACCCCTTATTAAACTGATGTTACAAAAGTCATTATCTTGAATCTCCTCATTTAAGTCCGCTCATTTACCATACAGGCATGCTTATGGGCCTGATCATACTTTCCACAACTGCAGTATGCATTCTACCTGAGCTTTTGTTACTGTGGATTTAAATAACTTATGAAATCCAAAAGAGCTCTGATGCTTTTTTCTCTCCTCTTCAGCTTCCTTTAACTGATCCAATTTTAAAGAAGTTTCTTCTTCTAAAATTAAAGGAGGCTGTGTTGGACTTTCTCAGTGATTTCTACTTATGCTTGTGTTCCGTTTGCTAATCTTGTGGTCACTGTTTCTAAGCGGCTTGGCAATACTTATATGTTGAGCAAAATACATGGGCACTGTTCTGCATTAAATGAAAGTTTATCTTCTTTCGGCTTCTTGACTAATGCTAGCAGTTTGGTATAGTGGTTAGGAGCATGGACTCTAATCTGGGAGAACCGGGTTTGATTCCCCACTCCTCCACATGCAGCTGCTGGCGTGACCTTGGGTGAGTCACAGTTCTCTCAGAGCTGTTCTGGAAAGAGCAGTTCTTGAAAGAGCTCTCTCAGCCCCACCTACCTCACAGGGTGTCTGTTGTGGGGAGGGGAAGGGAAAGGAGATTGTAAACCGCTCTGAGACTGTTTCGGGTAGTGAAGGGTGGGGTATAAATTCAATCTCTTCTTCGTCTTCTATTTTTTTAATATCTAGAAGACTCTGTATCATGACTTACACATTTACCATGTGGCAAGAAAATAACTGAAGTAACCTTTGGTTGCCTTAAGATCACTGTTGCCTCAAGATCACTGTTGATTTTGGCCAGGGAAAATATATAGCAACACCTCTATCACTGTCCTTTCTGTAACATTTTATACAGGGATAAATAATTGGCCTCCATTGATTATCACTATTCTCTCATGATTCTGATTTCACAGTATTACTATAAATAATTGATGAAGAAAGCAGCAAAACCAGGCTACTCACAGACAAAATAAGTTCTCTACATACTTAAGGGACCACCCAAGTATGTAGAAAAATACAACTTCGTAAATCAACTAAATGGGGAAAAAAATCCTTAATAACCAGCCCAGTAAGGATTTGAAATATGACAAAAGGGATAGAATGTGGAGAGCAGTTGAGAAAGGAGGAAAGGGTGGATCAGACTACTCAAGCCCCTGAGAGAATCCTGGAAGGAAAGATTGGGGATTTTCAAATGGTCCATTCTCCTCCCTTTGTGATTCCTTGCAGGAACCCAATTTGTTTTCTTTTAAAATTGAAGATTGCCCCTCATGTTCTTTAGATTTTCTAGCATTAGCTAAACACACAGCTATATATTTTGTCCCCCTCCATATACCTTTTTTTGCATGCAGTTTTTGCTATGATACCTCTCTATTATCTCTGTATACTTACCAACTTATGTTTTTATTTCTGTTTGAGAGAATAGATCATTCTCTGCTAAGGAATGAGTTACTCTAAATCAGATTTTTCTCATCTCATGTTTGCTGTCAGTGTAAAAGCTGTTCTGTGAATTTTTAGATTTTAAGCCGGTCTCTTATTTTCCCTCCAAGGCTCAATTTCTTCAAAAAAGGTTCCCCATGTCAAACAAATCTAAATCCTCACTGTATCATCTACACATTGAGAAATAACAGCTCTGTTTGTCTAGCTGGTTCCTGAATATGTACATGTCTGTTCCTTCTGGAGTTAAATTTTTATTTTTAGGAGTAAGGTACAAGATGTAACCACAACAAAAGGACAACAATATGTTGTCAAAGGCTTCACAGCCAGAGTTCATTAGTTGTTGTAGATTTTCCGGGCTGTATGGCCGTGGTCGTGGCATTGTAGGACCTGACGTTTCGCCAGCAGCTGTGACTGGCATTCTCAGAGGTATAACACAGAAGGATGGAGACACAGAGAATATGCCATCTTTCTGTGTTATACCTCTGAGGATGCCAGTCACAGCTGCTGGCAAAAGGTCAGGTCCTACAATGCCAAGACCACAGCCATATAGCCCGGAAAATCTACAACAACAAAAGGACAACACCTTGATTTACAAAATGGCAATAAACACCATTCATTAATTGTCAAATAGCTTATGGGCTGTTTTAGTACGCGGACTCTTAGGTTGCTGCTGGTGTTGAGGGGTATTATAGAACCCTAGAGTTTAGGGCAGTTTGAATATATTCTGTGTTAATTAGAAGTTTATTTTTCCTTTTTTTCCAAATTAGCATTTATGAGCAGATTGCCTTGTTTATCTTATAATTTCTAGTATAATGAATGTCATCAAAATCTGTCTTGGCCAATACAGATTGTGAAATGTGGAATATGCAAAGATCATTAGCCAAAACAAGATGTATATTTACAGTTGTAGAAATCATAACCTCAAGAGAATGTTAGGAGGAATTCCCAGTAAGGTAAAAAGAGTGCTAGTCCTTTGGGGTGGGGGAACTTAGTGTTTGTGAACATGGAATTTTCTGACATTTATGTCATTGGGAAATAGTGTTGAGTTGAAATGAAGAATGGGTGGCTTCCAGTGTAATTTGGAATCATAATAAGAAGACCGGAAAGTCAAAAACAAACAGATTAACATAATAATGTCATAGTGGCAGGCAAGAGGTTAAAAATTCAAACACAGACCATAGAACCATGATTACAAAGTCACAGATACAATAAAACCAATACAAACCAAACCAGCACTAAAAAGCCACAGCCATTTGAAAATCCATACAAACATTCCTCAGGCAATAAAATTAGCACTTATTAGTGGATATGTGCTCAGGAAGGGACTCGCTCAGTTAAACTCCCAAAGAAGCAGAATTATAAAAGGCTCTGGAGAACAAAATGTCTTTGCAGGTGCCTGAAAGTTTACAGATCTGAAGCAATGGTGGGCCTCTCTGGGGAGGGCAATCCATAGCCTAGGTGCCAACACAGAGAAGACCCTATCTCTGGTGTTTGCTCACCATTGTTAGTGGAGCCACATGATCTTAACCAGAAGGCAGGTATGTGTGGAAGAATATAGTCCTTCCAAGTACCCTGTGCTGAGACCATGTAGAATGTTAATGATCTTTGATTTCTTTTCCACAGTATAATCTTTGTCAATGTTTTTCAGTGGACACAGCTTGCTTGGCCATGAGGTATGTGAGTTCTTTTTGCTGATGCATTGGTTATGCACTAAAGATTACTTCCTTGTGGGGAATAAACTCCTCATTGTGTGGGGCTAAGCAGGCTCAAACTATGATAATGGTAGTAATAAGGAATAATAAGCCCCTAGTGTGGCAACAGCTAGGTGGAATACATCTGTTACAAAGGACTTCGAAATGGAAATGCAAAGTAGACAAAGAAAAAGTTGCAGAGAACATAAGAGATGGAAAGAGAAGGGCAGAAATAAGGTAGAAGGCAAACAGTAATGACAAGTTATAATAGGCAGTATTTATATATTACATAGATTATGATGTTATAGTTGCTATTGCTTCTGTTCCTATAGATTGGATGAAGTTCATTGTTACTTTCTAGTTTCTTTTTTTTTCTTCCCAGAAAGGTACCTGTCTGCCATAGGACAGAAGGAAGAAAAGAGAACACACTCTATTTTTTTCCTTCCTTGAATCTTTAGCAGGGCTAAAAGAAAATCCTTTTGTGCTGATTGCTCCTATTAAGTGACTGAAAGCCCGTAATCTGTCAGATCACCGTTGGTTTTATTTAAAAATAAAGTATAGAGTAAGATGCCCTTCAGTTTGCTCTCAAGCTTGTTTTTGGTAGGTTGGCACTAAGGGAATTAAGGTTTGGGGGTCTTTTTTGCTAATGATACCTGCAATGGGAGGACCAGCGATGACTCCAAACCCAGCAATGAATGAAGCGAGTCCCAAAGCACTGTGGAAGCCTGGAGCACCTACAAGATCTACCTGTTGAAAAAAGAAATATTTATTACCTCTTGCATATTTTGTGTTGTACCTAGAGAATGTTATCCTGACAAATTGACACCAGTTTTGCATATGTTGTGGTCCATGATGGATAGGAGGGATCATTAGGAAATCCCTTCCTCCCATGACACTGCTGAGCTCCAGAAATAAGTGAGCAGGATGCTGCTCATAAGAGTCCTGAATAGGAGTGGTACAGTGCACACAGTCCTTGAGTGGTCTAGCGTAACCTCAGTTTCACCTCACACTCTCTGATAAATGCTGTTTGGGGTTCTGCTCACTTTACAGCAGGGTTTTGTATGTGTCCAATTAACTATAATTGGAGGAAGTACACTCCCATTACGCAGAACCTCCACCTTAAAAGTATTTTATTGAGAGAGAGATGTGTGTGTATAAGTGTATTTATTCCAGGCCTTTAGTGGTTAAACCATAGGTGGCCATCTGTGGCATGGGTAGTGAAGGTTTGGTACACTTGAACTGGAATGGGTGATGGGGGGGCGGTAGAGTTATGTTGACAATTCTGCCTGCTGCTTCAGTGTTGTGCTTTAGACCTCCTCCCTGACAGGCAAAACCACCTGAAAGCATGGTGGGCTGCAAGTATACTACAGCCTGTATTCTTTTATCTTTTAAAAAAGAATCCAGAGGGCATCCAGGAAATTACAGGCTTACGGTAAATTGGTGGAAACTTTTATTAAAGAGAAAATTATTAAGCACATAGAAGAACAAGCCATGCCGAGGAGTAGTCATCATGACTTCAGTAAAGGAGAGAGCCATCTCACTAGCTTTCGAAGTTCTTTGAGGTGATTAAAAAACACAGACGGTGATCCCAGAGTTTTGATGCTATGAGAAACAGCTCAGTGAAGGTGTTGACTGAGTGTGGTGGCAGCAGTGAAAAAGGCAAATTCTACGCTAGAGATTATTAGGAAAGGGATTGAAAACAAAATGGCCTTTATTGCAGTGACCTTGTATAGATGGCACGGCGACATTTGGGCCATGCCAGTTGGGGATTGTGCCATGGCACCCGCTGACACCTTTCCTGGTGTCTGCCAAGTTTTTTTTAAAGGAAGTGGGTGGGGCCAAGTGGAGTTTTTGCCCAGCAGGGCTTATGATTGGCTGCTGGTGGTTTGATTGGCTGTGCAGGAACAGGAACAACAGGGAGTACAGACTAAAGCTTGTAAAAACTTGATGTTTGAAAGACACCTGAAATATGACATCTTAAAAGTATTTTTAATTTGCCAGATGTTAGCTGTTCTGCTCATTACAGTTTTTAAAAGCTCATCAGAAAATTGTGTGGATTGTACAGGTTATCATTTGGAAGTTTGCCTAATGAGTTCTTCCTACTTACCAGTACAGGAAGCAACAGGGCCAAGTATCCACCACTGAAAATGGCGAAGAATACTGCGTAGGCCATCAGTGTTGGGAAGGTGGTGGCTAGAGGACCCAGCAGGTTAGTGACTCCACAAAGAATGAGGTATGCCTTATGATAATGATACTTCTTAATCCAGTTCTGATCTGCAATCCAGCCAGAGAGCAACAAGCAGACTGTCTCTGTTATTCCTAAAAAGATGGGGGGGGGGGTCATGTACATTGAAACAAAATCTTCTTAGAATTGTTAAAACACTGGCTCCTGTTTTTCATTTTTAAAGCATGTATTATATACAGGAGCTATAAAGTGCATGTGTAAATGCTCCATTGTATCTCCTAAAGGTTGATAACAATGCTCATGAAAAAGGACATAACTCTAAAACGTCTTCCTTTTTGATAATATTCACATAATACTCACTCCCCATATGCCCCCCAGAGAGCACTGACTCTCCCTGGTCCAAAAGATGCCAGATTGGCCATCACCAGGGCTAGGGCCTTTTCAGTGGTGGCTCCACATTGGTGGAATGAGCTCTCGGAAGACATCAGGGCACTGCGGAACCTCTTACAGTTCCGCAGGGCCTGTAAAATGGAGATCTTCCACCAGACCTTCGATTAGAAACTGCCACTGGCATTAAGAACAACTTTGGATAGTGGCCTTCCTACATTGGATCATTTTATAGCGATCGCCATCTGCACTTACTTGCACTTTATTTAAATTGTTTGTTTACGTGTAATTTTATAGTATTGCATCTATGCATTGGTGTTTTATTGTATTTTAACCATCTTCTTTCTCTGCCACCTCTCCTTCCTCATCTCTTTCTCTCCTCCTTTTAGTAGCTCCCGACCTTGAAGTCATAAAATACTTGGCTTTTCACTCTATTTAGGCGAAATAAAAGCTTATCAGCACCAGGGAGGCTAAAGAACCTCACTAGATGCTGTTTGCTGTTTGCAGCTGTTTGCAGCTAGCACAAGTTCACAGTATGATATCCTAGCCAGCTAAAACAATTGCTGCAGTTAGATAAAAAAGGATAAAACAGGATAAGACAGTCTCACTGTGCAGAGGAAAAAAAGGGCCGTCCACCTCAACCTCCTTCCAGCTTCCAAATTCCAGGAAGAACAAAACAGTAAGTAAAAACAGTAGATAAAACGCGGAGCTCGGTATCAAACGTCTGCCTCAGCCGCCATCTTGGAATGCTTGACCTATTTTAACTTGTTGTACGCCGCCTTGAGCCAGCTTCCGCTGGCTAGGCGGGATATAAATCAAAAGTAATAAATAAATACAATTTCTCCCAAGCAGATTAGCACTTTGAAAAACAGGCTAGTTGGAATAATTTTACATGTATTAAACATTCAGAAGAATCTCCTTAAATTGTCAGCAAAGTTGAGGAGAACCAGTAGTTTTCTTTGGTGTGAGGCTAAAATACCCCCCTCCCCTAACAAAAAAAAAAACTCACCCTTTATGATAGTGACTTCTGAGTCACTGGTTTTGCTCAAGACTCATTTATCAATCTTATAATTTGATTAGGAAGCCACCCATTTATTAAAACTTTGTATTTCATTGATACCAGTAGCCTGTGCTGATAACCTCTCAGGAATTGCCAGATCCTCCATCATTGGTGAAATATTTTATGAACTAATACTAGGACGCAGCAAATTATTGTTGTCTCTCTTCTTCCCCCCCCCAGCAATAAAAAGATTTTATACTGTCAGGATTTGGGTTAAAAAAAATAAACTGCACAGCTGTATATGCTTATCTACTATATATGCATTTTTCTAGATTGCAGCCATTTCCCATTATTTTCAGTTCTAAATTGCTTCCCTTGTACTATGTCCAGGGTTGTCAACTAGATTTTTTTGATGGGTTAGAAGTAAGTATGTGATTCCCTTACCCCAAAATGGCCTCCTAATTCACTTCATGCACCCCTGTTATCTTTGGATTGGCAACTGAAGGCCAGGCAATAATCCTCAGGGGTTGAATTTGGCTATGGGAACTTCAGATGCTGATCCACATTCTGTGTTAATGTCTGTGCCGCAGAATTTTTAAGTGAACATTTGAAGAAGTGACTTTGTTGACAGTGAATGCTCGCATTTAATAAAGTCATTTTAATTACTGGTGTATGTTTCTTACTTTAATATAAATATCCAGTGAGGGATCAAATTTTGTGCAAAAGCATTTTTAATGAGTTGGTTGTAAAAAGTGCACACATTAACAAATATTACACAGTGGCATATTCTGCATTATCATCATTAGTTAGCTCTTTCCTAATGTTCTTTGTGCCTATAGCACACTATGTTGATGTTTCCAGAGAGCAGTCTACACTAAACCAAATGTATAGTTAATTTTTCTTAATGTTGATTGTCTTGCAGTTCATAGCATCACATTTAGTTTGCTTATGCCTACTATCAAAGTGCAGTGAGAACCTTTGTAACTAATGTATTTAAATCAGCCTTAGAATCAAGATTCCTGGACGATGACTTTTCCTTCTCCTCCCCCCCCCCCCCCCCCCACACTCCGGGGCGCTGCGCGCGGTCACACCACTAACAACATAACATTAATTAAAACCTCAGTACAATATTAAAAACAAACAGATGGCGAATAACCAATCCTCCTTCCAACTCCCACTGCCAGCTACTTCGTGGATGGGGGGGAGGGCAAAATAGATGTAGACAATAAGGAATGGGAAGGGTGCCAGCCGCTGTCCTCAACCAAAAGCCTGGCGGAACATCTCTGTCTTGCAGGCCCTGTGGAATTGCATCAGATCCCGCAGGGCCCTGATGGAATTTGGCAGAGTTCCACCAGGCTGGGGCCAGGACCGAAAAGGCCCTGGCCCTGGTCGAGGACAGTTGGATGTCTTTAGGGCTGGGGATCACCAGTAGATTGCTGTCTAAGGAGCACAAAGCTCTCCTGGGGACGTAATGGAGGAGACGGTCCCGTAGATACATCGGTCCCTGACCACTCAAGGCCTTATAGGTCAATACCAAAACCTTGAACTTCACTCGGTATTCCACTGGGAGCCAGTGTAGCTGGCGCAGCACTGGATGTATATGTGCCATCCGTGACATTCCCATCAGGACTCACGCTGCCATATTCTGGACCAGCTGGCGCTTCTGGGTCAATCGCAAGGGTAGGCCAGTGTAGAACGAGTTACAGTAGTCTAATCTGCAGGTGACTGTTGCATGGATTACCATGGCCAGATCAGGGTGCGACAGGAAAGGGGCCAGTTGCTGAGCTTGGCGTAGATTAAAAAACGCTAGCTTGGCAGTCTGAGCAACCTGGGCCTCCATACTCAAGGAGGGGTCCAGAATCACTCCCAAGCTCTTGACAGATTCTGCTGGTGTCAAAGGCGCGGCATCAAGAGCTGGTAATCTGTGCCCCAGTTCTGAAGGCCCACCCCCCAGCCACAGAACCTCCGTCTTTGTTGGATTCAATTTCAGCCTACTTTGTTTCAACCAGCTAATTACAGCCTCCAAACCAACAGCCAGATTATGTGGGGTGGCATCCGGGTGGCCATCCAATAACAGATATAGCTGGGTGTCATCAGCATACTGGTGTCACCCAAGCCAGAAACTCCGGACCAGCTGGGCAAGGGGGCACATATAGATGTTAAACAACATCGGGGAGAGAAGCGCCCCCTGAGGGACCCCACATAATAGGGGGTATCTGGAGGACACATTCTCTCCCAGCGCCACCCTTCGTCCCTGGCCATGGAGAAATGAGGTGAGCCATTTAAGAGCTAACCCCTGAACTCCTACGTCGGCAAGGCAGTGGGTCAAGAGATCATAATCGACTGTCAAACACTACTGTAAGATATAATAGTAATAGCAGTGCTGCCCCGATCCAGCTGTCATCGGAGATCATCTGTCAGGGCAACCAACATTGTTTCTGTCCCATGCTGTGACGTCCTCCTTATTGGGGAGGACTAGTTTCACTTTAAAAGTTCTCTATATTTTGTTTAACTGGGTAGATTCTGCTGCCACCAGGAAATTTTAAGGATTTCCAAACCTTTATGCTTATACTTTTGCTCTTACTAGTTTGGTAGACCGAGTTTAAGGCTTACGAGGAACTATGTGGTCCTGGGAAGTATTTCATTCAGAGCTGGTATAAACTTGAATAAAAGAGGATTTATTGAAATAAATACTAAATAAGAGGGTGATACAATGTAACTAGTAATGTGTAAATGATGTATAATTGCTTTGGTATCACACTCAATCTTTTCCCTCACTGACAGGGATCTTTGCATGTAACTTTGTAACATTTGTTTATCTTAATGTCATATATGTTCACTGTTTCACTCCAGCTTGTTATGACACTCAGACTCTCCTTTAACTTTTCTTCACTTAAACTTTACTTTTTCTTCATACACTCAGCTTTCAGTTCTCATTTTCTTTCTCACTGGACAACCGCAGCTGTCAGCTTCTAACTGCTTCCACCCCGAACAGCCTGTCTAACTCAACATCAACTGTCAACATCTAACTGAAACTACTGACTGACTCACATACTCATCCAAAGAGATTCAGTTCCAAAACCCCTCCCCCTCTCTGTCAACCACCAATCATACCACACTTGCCTCTCTCAACCACTCTATCTACTACAGCCATGCAACCAAACTTTTAAAGAGACACACACACACACAAACAAGGAATCGTTACACATGCCCATGGCAGACACCGGATTGGAATGAGTCCAACACCAATGTCTCATCCAGGTAATCCTGGAGCTGTTTAGCTACTGCCCTTTCAATTACCTTACCCAGATATGATAAATTCGAGACTGGGTGGTAATTGGAAGGATTAGAAGGATCCAAAGTTGTTTTTTTCAAGATGGTGCAACCACGGCCTCCTTGAAGCCCTCTGGATAAACCTGTTTCCAGGGATAAGTTGACAATAGTCATCAACAGGCCACGAGACACAGGTCAAGGAGACATGTAGTTGGTCTGACAGCACTCAGGATCCTGTCAACATCAGCAGGAGAGAGTAGGCTGAAGGTGTCAAAAGTAGAATCCAAAGACGGCCAACAGGCCTCCAGTTTACATACTGTTATCAACATTGGCAGGGAGGTTGCGGCGGAGTGACAAGACTTTATCTGCAAAGAAGCTCGCAAATGCCTCACAGCTGATAGCCAAATTATTATTATTTTGGTTCCTCTTTGTGTGAGAAGTCAAATACCGAATCATCCTATACAATTGTGCTGGGCGCGAGCTTGCAGATGCAATGGAGGCGGAGAAGAAAGCCTTCTTCGCCACCTTCACTTGCCACCTCATAGGATTTCATAAACATCCTATAAGATATAGCCTCGTCCTGTACCAGCCGCCAAACTCGTTCAAGTCTGAGTTCTCGTTTCATCCCCCTGAGCTCAATGGTATACCAGGGTGATGATTTACCATGAGAGTGCAGAGGACGTTGGGGGGCTACCTCATCGATGGCTTCAGAGAGACGGGAATTCCAGTCCTCTACCAGCTCATCTAATGAGACGCTGGAATCCAATTGGATCCCGCAGAGCATTCTGGAATCCAATTGGATCCCGCAGAGCATTCTGGAATCCAATTGGATCCATTAGTCTCCGCAGGTGAGTATAAATTAGCTCGCCACCTAGATAGGGGTGGGCAAGAACACCCAGCCAGGCCTTCAAAACCAAGTGGTCTGACCATGGCACTTTTCCCATTCAAGTCAGATCCACATCTATCACCGTCCCAAAGATCAAATCCAACATGTGGCCAGCTTGATGGGTGGGACCTGGTACAAATTGGGTGAGCCCTAATGCCGCAATGGAAGACACCAGGTATAAATCCTGATAGTGTTCCGGATACACTTCAAGGTGCTGGTTATGACCTTTAAAGCCCTTTATGGTCTGGAGCCTGCCTACCTGCGGGACCGCCTTTCCCCATATGTTCCCCCAAGAGCACTGAGATTTGAGTCGCAGGACCGTTTAGTCCCCCCTGGCCCTAGGGACGCCAAGTTAACAGCTACAAGAACTAGGGCGTTCTCGCTAGCTGCCAGCTGCACCAACATTGTGGAACCAGCTCCCACATGAAATCCGCGCTCTGCAGGATCTCCACCAGTTCCGCAGAGCGGTAAAGACGGAGCTGTTCCGCCAAGCGTTTAATAGCCCAGACCAATCAGCATAGCACTTTATATGGCTGGCCGCCATGTGTAAATTGTAATTGTACTGCTTTTTGTAATTGTATTGTTATTGTTACAGGCTGTTTTAGAAGTATTGTATTAATTTTAGTGGGTTTAATTGTTGTTAGCCGCCCTGAGCCGCCGGAGAAAAATCTAATAAATAAATAAATAAATCCTGAGTGGAGGCTGCAGCCTCATCAGCATGGACGTTGAAATCCCCAAGAATTAATAGCCTTGGGAAATCCAAGGCCCAGCTGGCTACGGTCTCCAAAAGGCTCAGCAGGCTATCTCCTGGTGCGCTAGGCGGCTGGTACACCAGACAGCCAAGCTCACCTCAGTATCCCACACAAGGCCTACACAGGAGACTGTTTGCGAACTTTAGGGTGGGGAGTGGTTTGAAGGAGAAAGCCTCCCGGATGAGTGGGCTTTTTTTAAAAAAAGATTTCTTGAGTCATAAGCATATAGTAGAACAAAGTTTTGAGTCCAGTGGCACCTTTAAGACCAACAAAGTTTTATTCTGGGTATAAGCTTTCGTGTGCACGCACACTTCTTCAGATATCAGCATGTAGTGTAAGTATTGCATCTTGTGCTCCTGGTTTCCTGTATACTTTGGACTGGTAAGCTGTATAGCCTCTTACCATCATCGTCAGCCTACATCACCAAAAAACCCTGCTCCTATGGTTCATTCCCCCCCCCCCCCAAGAGCATTGACTGCAGCTTGAGTAGAAAATCTGAGAACATCAATGGAACTCTCTTGTAAGCATAAGTAACATCCACTAGCATTTTAAAAGAAAAGTTGCATTTTCCTTACCAGCCATTGAAATGATGTAAGCAGCATCCATGGGGTCTATGCCCAGTGTTTTGGCTCTGGCTGCAAGATGAAAGGTAGGAACAAAGTAGGCTAGCTGGCTGAAGAGGAAAGACCAAGTGAAAAGATAGAAGAAAGGATTTTTCAGCTGGGAAAAATCAAGAGGGCACTGTTTGAAGGAGAAAGGCTTAGAATTTTTTTCCTTTGGGGGTGGAAAGTAGGTTTGACTACTAGCTTGGCTGTTTGCATCATTGCTCGTGAGGCTGTCTTTTTGTGGTGCTTCAGAACACGTGTGGCTTACTGGAGCTGGCAGTGGTTCTTCAGCCAGTTGCAAGTTGCTTGTTTCAGCACATTTTTGATTTGCAGGATCCATTCTGTCTAATCCTGTGGTGCAGATTTTGTCTTGACAGTGTTCGAAAGTTTCTGGAAACTTATAGCTTGTAGATATTTGTATGTCATCATTTCTAATACCTGCATCTTTGGTTCTCTTCATGTTAACTGGCCATAGCAGCATGCTAGAAGGTACGAGGTTCAACATCATGCCACCATATATCAGTAGAGAGCCTAGGTGGATGGAAAGACTAAAGATGAGATTTTCCATCATACCACCAGGAAACCAAAATTGGTTAACATTTTTTATTCATTGCAAGAAAAATGCTTAAAAAACACTTATTGTTCAAAGAGCTTTTTTATTTTTCCTCTGAAACCATATGTTCTCTCTTGTGATGTTATTTCCCAGTGACATTCTAGGATGTGATTAATAAAGAAGAAAAGGATACTTGAATATTCAGATTTTTTTTTACCTCTTCATGAAACTGTCCTGCCTAATAATTAGGCAGTGCATTTCAAAAACAAGCAATTATTCTTGCTTATTCTATTACGAAGTAGTTTTATGTGAAAGATGTGACATTGCAGGTTGAACATATGAAGCTGCCTTATATTGAATCAGACTGTGGTCTATCAAAGTCAGTATTACCTACTTAGACTGGCGAGCTCTCCTGGGTTTCAGGCGGGAAGGTCTTTCACACCACCTGCAACCTGATCCTTTAACTGGAGATGGCAGGGATTGAACCTGGAACCTTTTGCATACCAAGCAGATGCTCTACCACTGAGCCGTGGCCCGTCCCCTAAAGGTTTCTTGGTTCATTTATAGAATGAATAGCCAAGTGACTGAAGCAGCAGGAAAATAAAGTTACTGTTTGACTCTAAAATATCTGATCAGGCTTAACATCAACTATTTCAGTTATTGTTTAACAGTTGGAGGAAAACATAATTGACACTAGTGTGAGATTTTAGAGATAAAGTATATCAGAGCTAAAAAGCCAAATTGCAGTTTTGTCCAAGTTGAGATGTGGGAAGGCTACTAACCTTGCCAACCATAACTTTCTATCAGGAGTTGAACAAAAGGTGCCAGTACAACACACAGTCCCATTCCCGAACGACTAATTGCATTGGCTAGAGCCAGCCGCTTCTTGAAATACTTAACAATCATTACAGCTCCCACCTGATACAAGCAAGCGAAGCCTAGTCCTAAAGTGGAGAAATATATAGACTGAAACATTTATGTTAATACATCTTCTAGCCTCAGACAGTTGAAACTGAATGTTTACTGTAGATAATAATATCTCATAATCTGGCGCTATCTGAAGCTGACTTCTTACAAGATGAACACGCTATGCTTACCTGATAGAAATCCCATAGAAACACAAAGGAAGGAGATACTAGTGGCCAGTGTGCTGATAAGACAGCCAGCACCAAACAGGCATGCACCAATCAGTGATGTCTGCCGATCTCCTAGCATATCACATACTGTCGTTACTAGCGGAGCTGGAACAGAGTTGAAGAAAAAAGCCCTTCAGAAAAATGCACTACAGTAATTTGAGGACTAATGCAGGGATTTAGCCGGGAGAACTAGTGAGTTGATTACTTCAGAACTTTCCCACTAATGGTGGCCCTTTCCTCTGGTGCAAGGAATCTTCCACCAACATGAGAGATGCTTCCAGTGGCCCAGGACTCCTTGCACCAGAAGGCTTTAGAGAAGCTTCAGAAGATTAAAAACCAGAGGCTTGCATCTCATGGTGTTTGCATGTAAAGATGTGGTAGTTTCCTGGCTGAGACATAATGACTGGTCCAGTACCACTTGATAAGGTTTTGGGTTTTCCCCAGAAGTGGGAATTTAGATCCAGGTGTTCTTGTTACAAATACCTTTTAAGTCACAGTGGTTTGCAAGAAAAAATAGCAGAAAAATATTACAGTGTAGACAGTGATGACATTGAGTGATAATCTCTCTCTGCATTGTTTGTTTAAACAAACATTCTTGTGCTAACCTGCTAGGAATCGAAGAGAACTCATAATGGAGCCAATCCACCCAATGTGTTCAGAAGAGCCACCAACATTTTCTTGAAAGACGACAAAGAAAATTGCAAAGTTCTTCATTGTTCCCATTACAGACACATTTACCTTAATAACAACAAAAAATGCTCAATACAATGTCAACTGCAACAGAAAGCCAATTGCTAGCTCCCGCTTGTCCCTGTTGTGTAGAACATAGTACTTCCCATTTAAGGTTAGATTTTATATAGGAACTGTGTTGGTCAAGTACCGTGAATAAAACTTACCTATATAGGAACTAGAGTTGCTTCCATATAAATTTGTGGCTCTTATGGTAGATCTCATTGGGTCTCCATGATTACGAATACATCTGCCTTCCCACTTGTAATGTTATTGCACACACACCACCCTCCTGGTGCTCTATAGGTGTTTGATTGCAATTTGCAGCTGACTGGGCTCTTTCAGATTGGATGTGGAACCACAAAAAGAACCTCTGGAAAAGACATAACTTTTTGCCTGTAGGACACCCTCTATCCTCATGCTCATTACAGGGAGTTGGTGATAGGTAATTCAAAGCCCACATACATGTACCTGTCTCTCATGCAGGCTGGTAACTAACCACTTTGAGTTCAAGCAACCTATGTTGCTTTGACCACAGACATCACAAAATATGAAATAGTTCTCTCAAACTTTGAAAGTAGGGATGTCCTGATAGCTGACTTGTTACCTGTTTCTCAAATGTGATTTTGTCCAGCCTATATAAATAACCTTCCATTTTTCTTTGTTTCCAAGGAGCATAATAAAAATATGTTGAGCTCACCTTTTATGTTCACAGTAACATCTTTGTTCCCATTTCTTACTTACCAGAAAAAAGTGAAGCACAATCATCCATCCCCAACCTCCATCAGGAGGTTCTATACTGTTGTAGTCTTTGCCATATTTTACCATTATTGGCTGATCTTTTGTCATCCGTGTTCTTGCGCATTTTGTGGTAACGACTGACATTCTGAAAGCCGCTTTCAGCGCAAAGATTCTTTCTCAGCTGGCCCTGCTGCTTTAATACTAATCTTTCCACTTAACCATTAACCACATGTTTTTAAATGTTGGAAAGTATTGTGAAAGGGATGTCTTCTAAGCAAGATGGGGCTTCTTAACTACCACCTTGTATGATGCTTTATGGAAAAGTCCCTGCAGAAAGGAAGTTCCTACATATCTCTGCAGACAAATACTTTGTGGATTTTTGTCCTGGCCTGTCTCTTTGTATGGATTGTTATTGATTAAACAGTGTTGTGTGCTTTGAGGGCCAAGGTAGATGAGGTGGCATCACCAGGCCTGACACAGGGATGCTGCTGCCATTTTAAAGCCTAATGTGGATGACTGGAAAATGCTTGAGTGCCTGATCCTGACAGCACTCTTGTCCCACCCACCCCTCCCCCACAGCTTTTTAAGTGCCAAAATGGCCATGTTTCCTTGCAGCTTGTTTGAGTGCTTGGAAAGGATGTGTGTTGGACGGGGGGATGGGACACCAAGAGTGCCTGGTCCCACCATGCTGCCTCATGGAGTTTTTAAATTGGCAAGGGTATCTAGTTTGGCCCCATGTCTCGCTGAGAAAGGTGAACTTACACATTTAGTAAACAAACATTGTCATGCAGCAGTTGTGGTCATTATAAGTTCTGTATTTGAGACAGGTCTTTAATGTAACACAATAAAGTCGACACAGGACAAAATGGTAAATCATGGCATGGTAATTCTAAATTATAAAGATCTGGTGCCAAAATAGGCCGTATTTTCAAGCAGGCAGCTGTTTCTGAATGGTTACCCTGGTGACACACAGGAGAGGGCATCTACAGAAAGCCCTGAACAGATGAGCAGAGCTGTTGTAGCAGAACACAGCCACAAAGGTGATAATTTACATATGATGATCCAAAGGCACACAGGGCTTTGTATGTGATAGTATCTTGAAATGAATTCAGTACCTGATGTGCAGCTAATAGAATGATTGAATAGGGACCACCACTACCACTGCCACCAATGAGGTGGACAACATCGGGGTTAAGGATGGCCCAGGAAGATCTGCCACAATTTCTGTGTGGCCACTGGATTTACCTGGTTGATCTATAGGATAACATCACCCTGGAGAACCATCCGGAGACCATCTTGTTAAATTGAGTATAATTTTTATTAATTGTCATTAATGTTTTATTGCTTTTATCTGTTTTATATGGGTTTTCCCCTTGTAAGCCGCCCTGAGCCCACTCTGCGGGGAGGGCGGGGTATAAATCTTAATAAATAAATACATAAAAATAAATTGAATTATGCATGTAATGTGCATGCCTTATCTAGCTTTTGATAATAACCAAGCTGTGGCATTCTGCACTAACTAGTTGACTTCAAGGGCAGACTCACATAAGAGTATATTACAGTAGTCTTAATCCATTACTGCGGCATGGATCTAGGTGACTAGATTTGACAAAATTGGACAAAAGCATTTCTTGCAGCTGCTTTTTCAGAAGTAATGCTGGATTCCACCTAATTTACTTCACATGTTGATGCACAAACCATGTATATCACCCTGACCTGTTCACAGGAAGGATGGGATTTAATAGATACTTGAGACACTGTCACAAGAGGCAAACCTACCCATTCCGTACCTGACACAGGACCACCTGTAATACATCCATTGTCCTTCCACATCTGTTCTGCCTGTCCTTAACTGGCATTTAAAAATTCTGGTTCTCGTTTTGGGCAGAATTTAGTGATGGGTTTATAATCTGACTCATTTTTCCCTCCCTAAAACTTATGTTTATATTGGCTATACCCAGGATTTTGAATTCTTTTCATAATTTTAGGAGCAGTCCTGCCTGTACTGAGTTGTAGCAGGCTCCCAGTATTTTCAGAATCTGAGCATAACCCTTCTTGAGCAGAGTCTTAAGTTTCAGCTGAAATGGCCTGTTAAATTTAAAGGCACTTTAAAGGATTTAAAGGCACTTAGAGACTGCTATTAGGAATCAGTTTACAAACTTTCAGCCCAAACTAGAAGAAATATCAACATACCATTTGCCTGCAACTGAAGGAACCTGCATTCAAAAGAACCACATAATGCAGCTATCTCATTCTGAAGCTGTTTTGTTTCTACTTGTTTCACCTGGTCTAGAATATGCTCAGCTGCAAATCCTATTTATTTGCTCAATGGGGATTGCCAGAGGATTATGATCCCATGGATTAACAAATTTTGAGCTCTCTCCTAAATGTATGGATTTGGAGCACTTCTACCTGATTGATGTGTCTCAGGAATTAGGGAAATACCAAGCCACTTTGTATCTCTTGATCAGGTAGTGTAATACAAAAAACCCAAAAGTTTTCCAGAAGGTTAAGAAACTGGATAGTGTGCATTTACTTCACACAATTATCACCCAGGCTACTCATCAGTTAGAAGCATAAATAGCTGTATTTGAGAGAAGTTACATGACTGTTACCATCATATACCTTTCAAATTCCTAGGCAAATTTTAACAATGCTTGTAAAATATGAAGTAAGTATCAAGACATTTTGTTCATGAAGAAAGAACATTATAGCACTTCTTAACACCACAGTATAGCCAAAAATACAAAATGAAACAGGGAAATTTAGTCAAAACTGCACCACATAAGCAGCGCATTTCCCTCTTATTATCTTCTAGTGGAGGATATGGGGCAGCTGCCAGGTGTTTCTGCAACTGCACAGCAGAAAAGCTTTCCAGGTTTGGTAGTATGAAGCATCAGATATTAAGATCAACCAGACTCCCATGTGAACTTACAGGGAAAGTATTTACAGTCAGAAGCAACTGGGTTCTTTCTAATGACACGATATACAATCTGTATGAAATGTGCAGGAGAAGAGCACGGTCCACAACAGTGAGCTGCTGAAGGGCAAGAAGACACACTGCAGGTGAGATCAAGATGCCATTTTGTGCACTGCCACTGTGATGCCGTCGTGTTTCTGGATCATGATATTACTGAAAAGAAACAGAAAGGGGTTTCCCCCCCACATACCATTATTATAATCCTGAGCATTCACGCTGACAGAAGTCTTAACCAAAACAGCACAGATTTACTATAGCTCTTAGTCTGCTTTTTGAAGTGTTTGTGTGTGGTGAAGCTGTAGCATTTATTACTGCAACAGCTCTGAAGAAGCTGAGGAAATCTATAAAATACAGATTTCCAAACCCACTCAGCCTCATATTAGTGCCCTATCTGTGAGGTTTTTGCTTTTTATGTCAAAATAAGGCTTTACACTCCAATAAGACATATATTTCACTTTGATTTTCAGCGTGTTTCAAACATCAACAGGCACTCCAAACTGCAAGAACAGTCAAATGACTGTTCGACTGTGTCATGATCCTAGCCTAGGCCTATAGTAGTGTGGCCTGCAGGCTCTAGGGCCTAGTGCAGCCAAGGAAGCCTGTATTAGAGTAGTTATCGAGGCCTACATTTCCCAGGTGCCCTCTTGACTCTGATTAGTTAACGGGATTTTGAGGGAAAACTTACACCAGCAGAGGAGTAGAGGGTGGTGCCTGGGAAGAATGAATAAAAGGCCTTGCCCAAAGTGGAAGAGTGTTCACTCCTAGGCAGCAGAGCTGGTGAGGCTGCTGCAAAAGGGGGGATCCCTCATCCAAGGGAGTGAGTCAGACTGAGACCAAGTAGCTAGAGAAGACTAGGACAGTATAGTCATGCATTACAATTTCTTATTTTACTGGTTTACCTAACTTTACTGTGCTAATTTCTCCTACACATTATTGAATTGCAGTTATTGTTAAATCTCTTTTATAAAAATTATTTGTTACTCTGCCTGGGTCTTCATGCCCCATTCAGTCACTTATATGGAGAAGCCTACTGGAAAAGGAGTATAAAGGGGTAGGGTGTCTCGCCACACTGAGAATTAGATATATTGATGAGGTACATGCTTACCCAGTATCTGATTCCAGGCAAACAACAGGAATATCTGTTGGATCAGATGTTAGTTTGGCTGCTTGCTGCGCCAGAACAGATATCACGCCTGCATGCTCATCTGAAAGGGTGCCACGACCTAAAAGACAGTACTTGATGGTAAACGCTAGTAAGAAATATAGGATGTAGTTAATTCAGGAGTGCACTATTCTTTATAAAAAGGGGTGGGATAGCATTTTAACCCTGTTTTGTTAGCAGTACCTCCTTGCACTTTTAGCCGCATAAAATGAAATGTACCAAGACTGCATCAGAAGAAGCTTGAGTGCAATACTCTGCTCAAGGATCAAAGGGAATACTAGTTCACACAACTGGAATGTTTCCACTATATGTGGTTTTGTTCTATAGCTTAGATGGCTTTTTAAAAGAGACACATTCAAGGAAGATAGGTCTGCCAAAGGCCACTGTACATTTTCCAGACGCTGGGAGCAAGTACCCCATTGGTGAGCTTCCTAGCTGGCTAGCTGCTTGTTTAATTCAAAATACTGTCCCTACTTGGGCCTGAAGAGGAGTTAGGTTTCTGTTTGCCTCTGCTACACTGTTACTGTATTGGGCCTGTTTGTAGCTGCCCTGAGCCCGCCTCGGTGGGGAGGGCGGGATACAAATCAAACAAAATAAATACTTTTAAAGCAGCAGAGAGACTCTCCATATATCCCCCACACATACAGATTTCAGTGTTCATCTTCGTAGCTTCTGTGCAGTCCCACATGGGATGTAGCAGGCCAACCACCAGGAGGAGCTAGTGAGCTCAAAAGAAATTTCTAGTATCCCAAGAGTGCTAGGCCTCCCATAGCACAATGATCTTCCCGCCCAAATGTCAAGTGACATGGGAGGAGCCAGCACTCTCCCCTCAGGCCGAATTTGCATCTAGCATTTGCTCCACTGTCTTACCAAACCCACACTGGAACAGAAATTCCCATCTACATTGCATGCCACTTTCACTCTGATTGATTTTCTAATTTATAGCAGCGTCCAGACTGCATGCTGCTTTCACTCTGATCTCTGGTTTTATGGTGGCTATCTGCATAGATTTATGGCCATTTTATGGCCATTCAGGGGTGACTCTGCAGTCAGTATGGCATTAACCTGGGGTATTTGAATGTGGTTTTGAGCCGCATCTTCTTCTGTTCCAGTGTGGGTTTGGTACAACGACGGAGCAAATACTAGATGCAGATTGGGCCTCAGTTCTCTTTTTGCCGCCACAAAGAGAGGACGTGCTTTCAGCGAGCTCTTTCAGCCTGAGGGGAAACTTGTCTTACCTCAGGCTACCTTTTTTCTGTCATGGCCCTCTTCAAGAAATGTCAGGAGTGTGGTGCCAAGATGACTCAGTCGGATGATCACTCCTCCTACATGTATTATTCCACAATGAGTCCTGACTTCAGTTAAGATGACTTGAATTAAACCTTGCAAGAAGAGTGGAAACTTCATGGAGGAGTGGGCTATCAGTTGCAACTAATCATGATGGATACCTACTCCCTCTAAGACCAGAGGCAGTATGCCTCTTTAAATCAATTGCTGGGAAGCACAGGCAGGATGATGCTGTTGCAGTCTTCCTGCTGGTGGGCTTTCTAAAGGTAGCTGTATGGCCACTGTGTGAACAGAATGCTGGACTAGATTGGCCTGTGGTCTGATCCAGCATGGCTCTTCTTATGTTCTTAACTCCCTTCCAATGACTGCCACTCCCCCCCCCCCAATCCTTCTTTGTTCCTCACAATTTCCATTAACCCTTTCCTCATTCCTTTCTCCCCCAATTTTTCTTCTTTCATTAATCTAATCCTCTTGATTCTCTGTCCTGACTAGGTCCATAGCTAAGGTGAGGCCTTTGGGGCTCCACACCCTCAAATGTGAGGCATGCCCCCACAACAGCTGCTGCCTCTCTCTCCCCTCCCTCGCCTCCTCCCCCTTCCATAACATTAAAAAGGCCCTCCAGCTGATTGGCGGGAGCACGTGGCCACTGATTGGCTGGAGGGCCCTTTAAATCTTGCAGGAAGGGAGGAATAGGGGTAGCCACATGCCTTCCCTGAACTCCAAGCAGCAATTTCACCACTTACACTTAGAGTTCAGGTGCGGGCAACCTCTGCTTGAAAAACACCATTTAAAGGAAAGCCTCTTGGAGTTCAGGAGAAGTGTGTGGCCGGCAGCTGCCCTCTCCTTCACCTCCTGCAAGGAAGGGGGCAGCCCCACACCTTCCCTGAACTGCAAGCAGCACTTTCACTGCTTGGAATCAAGGCATGGGCAGCCCCTGCTTGAAAAAAAAAAACATTTAAAGGCCCCCTTTAAATGGTGTTTTTCAAGCAGGGGCTGCCCATGCCTGAGCCCCAAGCAGTGAAATTGTCACTTGGAGTTCAGGGAAGGTGTGTGGGTGCCCCTCAAATAATCACTCTGTAACCATATCAGTTATATAGATACAACTTGGAGCTTCATAGTTTAAGAAAGAAAAGTGTATTGTTCTGTTAGGAAAAGAAAAACTCTACCTGGGAACACCCATCTCCCAGGTCTTAACCCAATAGGAAATAAGTGATGAAATTTGACAAAGTTTGATGGAACCAATAATTCTATTTTATTTCTCTGATGTAATGTGTAATATAAAATGCTATGTCACCCATTGTAACACTCAAAGAGTCTGTTAGGTATTCAGGGGTCCCAGACCTTATTAATTAATAAATTATTATTTTTTGGGTCTTCTACTCTACAGGACTGCTTTGTGTGTTTTCTCAAATTGGCCTGGGCAAACACAACCAGGGACACAGGTTCTGTCTAACACTGCTGCCCCACAAAATTTCCCCATACCTCACCAGCCCGAAATTTCTGGCTACAGGTCTGGTCCTGGCACTATTGCCTTCTACTGCCCTTCTTACTCTCTGCCACATCTCCTAGTCCTAACCTTTTCTTTTCCCCTCCTTAGTTTCTCATTTTTCTTTTCTCTCCCTGCCCATGTATTCCATTCTTTAGTATAAATTCTCACTCCCCCTTCTCTGCTCCACCCCCCCCCCACACACACACACACACTATAAGGCATGTCTCAAGGCCTGGGAATACTAACTAAAGGATGTGAGAAAGGCAGGAGGGTACCATACATATGAAGAACCTGCCAATTTGTTAATATTGACCAAAAGGAGTATGTACAGGTCAGAACCACAATATTCTACCTCTCCCAGGTCACTTAGAAAACTGTCAGGAAGCCAATATCAGCCAGATTTTTACAGCCCCAAGTTACAGTAAGTAGCTGGCTTTACTTTACATTCACTATTCTGTAGTACATCAGCATTCAAAAGATACAAGAAAGATTAAAATCACTAACTTGTGCTCTTCAATTACAATAGCTACCTATTTTACATAAGATAATTTAAGAATGGCCACAGAGTTATGAGCTGTAGATAACCTTCATCTCCCTAACTTGGGAGAGTGTTCCCTCTAAGCTGAGTTAGTGTGAGCTAGCTCACAGATATTTAGACGCCAGCTCAGACATTTTTGTCTTAGCTCAGGAAGGATGGCTCCAGGGTGAACTAATTTATGCAGTAGCCAAATTGCTTGCTCACATCTTTAATGCCAGTAGCTCACAAAGTAGAATTTTAGCTCACAAGAGTCCACATCTTAGAGGGAGCATTGGGGCATGAAGAGTTTTTCCTTCGTTTGGAGTCGACGCCTACCCACAATTCTGCATTCCTATCAATTCAAGAAGCACAGCCCCACTTAAGAGTATTAATTATTCCAGTGGTTCATCTGAAACGAATTAAGAGACCTTGGTAGAACACTAGGAGGAATCATCAGGAGTTTGACAGCAGCTGGGAAATAACCGAAGCGATAAGGACTTTATTTCTCACTAAGAATGAGGAGAGATCGAAGAAAACCTAACGGAAGGGGAAAGGAAACCTTAAAGAAGTATGTTGTATGAGAAGTAAAGTTTCTAAGTTACTCACAGCCCAGGTTTAGTCCCTGAGAATCGGTACACAGGACTCCCGCAATGGAAGGATTCTTCATTCTAGTAAAGAGGAAAACTACAGTAACTGCGCCGGATAGAACAGACACGTAAACAGTACTATCCTGCCTTCCCCTGCATTGAAATCCCGACTCTTTAAGAAAGGGAAGTGGGAAGTTTATGCGGAGAACAAAAAAGGAAACGGCACTTACGTGTCTTCTAAATGATGCTCCAACGCGCCTTCCATCTTGCTCCGCACTACGGCCTCCTCCGCCCCCGGAAGTTTGTCGTCAGCTGATTTTAGTCACCTGATAAGGGAACGTGAACGGTGGCTCAATAGGGTCAAGATTGTAAGCGGAGAAGGCGACCGTCGAGTTTGCGTTGCTGAATATATGATCGGGGATCATTCGATTATGTTTTACTTTAAGTCTTAATTAGATTTACACAGAGAGGCGTTCCATAGATAAGCGGGATGTATTTCCGACTGGACGTGTTTGAGACCGGGGATTTGTCACTTTGATAAATTATCATCTGTGTAGCAGCAGATCTCAATTATTAAAAGTGGTCCGCATTCATACTAACTCTTAGGATATCCCAGTAAGGTATTTATTGTCCTCATTGTAGATCCAGTAAGGAGTGTGTGAGAAAAGATGACAGCTAGGAGTTTGCCTAATGAGGTTATGGTGAAAATGAGATTTGAACCACCGATTTTTGTGTGCAATCCTAAAGTTTGCTTGAGAGGAATAGGAAGGCATCTGAGGACCACCACCCCCGCCCCCGGGTTGGGAAATACCTGGATATTTTGAGGGTGGAGCCTGGGGAGAGCGGGGTTTGGGGAGAGGAGGGACCTCAACTGGGTACACTACTGTAAGGTCTACCCTTCAAAGTCGCTATTTTCTCCAGGGCAATTGATCTGTATTGTCTGGAGATCAGTTGTAATAGTGGGAGATCTCCAGGCCCCACCTGGAGGCTGGCTACCCTATGCCAGTGGCAACATAACTGTATCGATATGAGGCTGAAAACAGAAGCCACAATCCTCAATTACTGCACAATGGGGGGGCGTGTTGGTGTCTAAGCTTCAGCACTATGATCAGGAGCATCTATATGACAGTTGACAGCTGCACTGAACCAGATTCAGCCAGTTTAGACTTGGGCAGAGGCAAGCCAAATCACCATGATTCAGCACTACTCTGATTGGCTGATCAATGTATATATGTGGATGTATTCTCTCTGATGGTGGATGGTGTCTGGCGGAGCATTTTATTAGAGAGCTGTATAATTTGTAAATAAATTCCTGTATATAGTAACCACTGGACTGTTTTAGTGTGGTTGACTATAGAAAAGCCTCTGGTTGCAAGAAATGACTGCTGGTGAGTGCAAGTGTGACTGAGGTGCTGGTTCAACTGTTCCAGACGCCCTGCGCAACGGGGGGGGGGGGGGGCGGAAAACAGGGAGCCAACTGACTTTTATGTCAGACAGCGCTGGCTCTTCGGCTTTGAAACGGAGATGAGCACGGCAACCCTAGAGTCGGACTCGACTGGCTTTCGAGCAAGGGAACCTTTACCTTTTTATGTCCAAGATGGGCCATGGTGGCTTACAGGTTAAGACGCTGAGCTGCAGACCAGAAGGTCTGTAGCTCAGTAGTTCGAGACCCGGGTGCCACGTGACAGAGTGCGCTCCCATCTCCGGATCCAGCTCCTGCCACCATAGCAGTTCAAAAGCTAGAAATTGCAAGTAGGTAAATAGGTACTGCTTCGGTGGGAAGGTAACAGCGTTCTGTGCACCCATTAGTCACGCTGGCCACATGACCACAGAAATGTCTTCGGACAGTGCTGGCTCTTTAGCTTGGAAATGGAAATGAGCACTGCCCCCTAGAATTGGATTCAACTAGCTTTCAAGCAAGGGAAACCTTTACTATGTCCAAGATATGCCAGTCTGGTGTTGTGGTTAAGTGCACGGACTCTAATCTGGGAGAACTGGGTTTAATTCCCCACACCCATGACCTTGGGCAAGCCATAGCTCTGTCAGAGCTGTCCTTGAAAGAGCAGTTTCTGTCAGAGCTCTCTCAGCCCCACCCACCTCAAGGGGTGTCTGTTGGGAGGGGAAGGGAAAGGAGTTTGTAAGCCGCTCTGAGACTCTGAGTGAAGGGTGGGGTATAAATCCAATCTCCTCCTCCTCCTCCGTCTTCTGTGTTAGGGCCAGTTATGATGGCACAGGCCCCCAGCACTGCTCCATCACTCTCAGGCACCAGTGGAGGGCTATGGTGGCCACCTGTTGCTGGCACCCCTGTGCCAGTATAGTTGTGGATAGTTTGAAGGGTGTAGCCAGAGTTAGTTGGCTCCCTGAGCACTTTCAGCCTGGGAATGCCCCCTGCGGAAGTTACGCTAACAAAAAGCATGGCGTGTCCCATAGGCCAGGTGTAGTCCCACCCCCCACCCCCGTGTTCCTGCAGCCTTGCCAATTAGCCTCGGAGGAGCTCAGGATGCCAATTATAGGCTCAGTCAATCATCTCCCTCCCCACAGCAGCCAAGTGTTGCCCTGTAAGAGCCTCGCGAAGCATCCATAAGGCTATGGACTGTGATTATACACTGGACTGTGCAATAAGTGTGCCAGGGAACTGGACTGTGCGGTAGCCTGATGAAGGTGCCAACCTCCTGGACTGTAAGCATGTGCTCAGCCAAGGGTAGCCTTGTGCTGAAGCAGTGTGCCAAGCCAGACATGGACATACCCAATACCTTTCACCCCTGCATCTCTTCAAGAGGCAAACCAGCATCTCTGACACCCTGAGCAGGCAGCAGTTCACCAAGAAGAAGCCATGCTTTACACAAGAAGCCTGAGTGTTCCTGCAAAGACTCCATGAAAAAAACTTCTCCTGCACACAGGAACCTTCCCCCCGCCACCTATCTTCACCAGATGCTGCACATATTCCTCACTGTAGAACAAAAGGACTTGTGCCATGAGTAGATTAAGCAGCTGCCATGTCCATCCACCACTCATCCTGATAACAGCTGTCGATCATTGGGACATGAAGACTAACGACTATCCATGGAGCTGAGACTTTACTACTCTTTTCTTTTGTCTTTCTAAAGGTGTCACCATTAGTTGAATATCATTGCCCAACCTTTAATCCTATTCTCCCGGTCATCTCCTGATCATTAGTGACTGGATTTTTCTAGAATTCCTGGGGACTATGTGACTTGGTGGCACATGCCCCAAGCCACTTCCAGGGTATATAAGAAGAGCATCTGCTCATTGTTCTCTCTGTTACTTCCTACCTACCTAACCCCACCCTACCTTGCTGGCTCCATTCCTAGTGCTGTTTGGAGTCTCCCACGTGTGTGGCTGGGCACACACACAACCCCTTCCCTAGTATTTTCCTATTTTCACTGCAGGATCGCCTCGTCACGTTGGACAGGTAAAATATCACCCCCATCAACGATACCTTCCTGCTAATACAAACGCCTCTGTACCTTTCTGTCTGAATTCCTAGATCTGTATTGTGTGTGTGAATGCTTGATTTTATATTTGTGTGTGTGAAAACCCTTTAGTAAAAGAAACCATTGCTTTTAAGATCTAGTCTCAACGTCTGTTTCTGGGATTTGGATAAGTGGGACTCCACTATACACAGGTCTGATCCTATATTTAATGTCTATTGCCATTTAATTCTCATAATTCCCCACATGTATTAATAAATTAAGGCAATTTGGCTAACACAAGCCCACTCCCCAGCACCCAATCGCACCCCCCACTGTACAAAACATTCAGCCAGGACATCTTACAACTCAATAGGTAGGGTGTGTGGCATGGGACGCAATCTCAGAGCTCCCTGCCATGCTGACTTAGAGCAAGCGGTGAAGCACTTTGGTGGTGTGAAAAGAACAGAGACGGCACTTAGCACTAGTATGCAAGGAAGAGAGCTAAGTCCATACTCTGTGGCTGACCTCTCCCATTTCAGAACCCTAACAGGTACCCCACCTTTGGAGGCTTAACTCAAAGGGGCAACTGCACACTGACAGGTAAGCAAGGGCAAGGATCCCAAACGTGCTCCCCCACTCCCAGTTTGATGTAGTGGTGTAGCTTGGTGTAGTGGTTAAGAGCACCAGACTCTAATCTGGAGAACCAGGCTTCATTCCCCACTCTTCCACATGCAGCCAGCTGGGTAAGTGTCAGTCACAGTTCTCTCAGAACTGTCTTAGCCCCACCTACCTCACAAGGTATCTGCTGTGGAGAAAGGACAGGAAGGAGATTGTAAGCCACTCTGAGTGAAGGGCAGGATATAAATCCAACTCTTCTCCTCGCTTGAGGCTGGGTGCCATGACATTGCCCCCTTCACTCAAGCCCAGTACTGAGTTCGTGTAGAGGCGGCACAAGCCACGGCAACACAGCACCATGGCCCCTGACATGCTGTGAGAGAAGATCCCAGGAAAGTTTCCTGGGAGATCTTGGGGGGCAGGGGGGCTCTGTCATTTGCCTGGTTCCCACCCTCGGCAGAGGACGCAGCGTGGTTGTGGTTGTGGGTGGGATCTGACAGCTGATTCACCATAGGTGGTGAACCAGCTTGCCATATAACCCTTTAACCCATTTCCTTGCAGAATCAGAGCATATAAGAGATGCCAATGTTGGATCAGGCCAAAGGCCCATCCAGTCCAACACTCTGTATCACACAGTGGCCAGAAATACCAGTGCCATCAGGAGGTCCACCAGTGGGGCCAGTACATTAGAAGCCCTCCCACTGTTGACCCCCCCAAGCACCAAGATGACAGAGCATCACTTGCCCCAGAGTCCCTATCTATACCTTGTGGCTAATAGCTACTGATTGACCTCTGCTCTATATGCTTATCTAATTCCCTTTTGAAGCCGTCCATGCTTGCAGCCGCCACCACTTCCTGTGGCAGTGAATTCCAAGTGTTAATCACTCTTTGGGTGAAGAGCCTCAACCAACAGCTACAGGTGCTGCTGTGAATGGATTGCCAGCGTGAGCACTTCAACACAGGACAGGTGAGTGTAATTTGGATGGTACTATCATGTGGGGTTCATAGCAAGCCCCGCCCCACAAGCTGCATTTGCAGACCATGTCAGGACAATGCATCCATGTCTGAGCCTGGCATGGCACTCATGTCCAGTTGCCATGACTGGACGTATCTCTGTTTTACTTGCCTGCAGGTGGAGATTCAACAGAGAGACTTGTGAGTGTGGCAAGTCCCACCTCCCCGCCCACTCTGCTCAGTCCACTGATCCAGCCCTCCTCTTGAAGTGGAGCGTAGCACCCAGCTAGCCCTTC